TGCGCAACCTCCAAGCAGTCTTCCTGCCAGCAAACACGACGAGTCACCTGCAGCCTCTGGATACCGGGATCATCAAGAACGTGAGGCACCTGTACAGGAAGTGCATCGTGCGACGCTTCTTGGCTCGCGCGTCCCGAGACGAGGACCCCGACAAGCTCACGTTAGTTGATGCCATACATGGGTAAATTACTTTCAAAATGTAATTTAATTACAATTACAATTACTTAGCTCCAAAAGTAGTTTAATTACAATTACAATTACTACTATGCAAAAGTAGTTCATTGCAATTACAAATTACTTTTTAAAAGTAATGCAATTACTTTACAATTACTTATTTCTGAGAGTTACCCCCCACATTGGGCCATATAACTGTAAACGAGTTATATGGCCGCTGTATAAATGTCACGCATTGTACTTTCCTTTTATGAAATTTGTTAAATGGACTATAGAACTTAATAGTTTGGAGTAATGAACTCCTGCGTTCATATATTCTCAAAACATAAAAGATGGCGACAAAATTCACAGGTATGAGGTGAATCTCCTTAGAGCTTATGCAAATGGTATCCAAGTCAAACCAAGAAAAAATAAACTTAAAAATAATACAAGGAAACAAATATGCGACAGTACTGGTATCAGAAAACTCACGTAAAAATGGCTAATAAGAGAAACTTGTAAACGACGTCAAACATTTAAAGGATACGACAACTTATGAAAACATTGCAGCCACGATGATTCGCTGCCTCTCCCTGTCTGTGGACTTGTAACATGCCGGATGTGGGTAACCGTAGCATACGAACTGTGGTTCGTGTGCTACGGCCAGGGATTCTGGGTTAATTCAGTGCACGGTAACACCCAAAAAGCTCCCGAGATAAATAAAAAATTTAGGATCGTCATGTAGCTAATCATTAGGATAGCAATGATTGTATCGATGTTATGCGTCTCATAAAGAAGACCGATTTGAATTTAGCATGGCAAGAACAACCTCGAAAAATTCATGATACACTGCAAACGACTTTATTTTCGCGAATTTCGCGAATCGCCTACAATTCGCAAAAAAAAATGTAAACACATTAAAATCTATATCGCGACCGCACCGCGTCGCGAAAATTAGAATCCGCGAATTATTCCAAAACTGCGGCCTCTTGGACGCCTCGATTTCACGATTTACTTGAGCGTGTTTCAGCTGGAAGATACAGACGAGCTATTATTATTATTTTTTTTTAAACTGTAAGTATTATTCAAAGTAACAAGGAAGTTGCCTACCTGCAAGTGTTTCCGCAAATTGGAGGTCGCCTTTTGGTTTATTGAATTTGTTTTCAGAAACGGTCCGGAGAGTTTGCTCCTCACGATTATAGTTTTTTACATTTGTGCTAATCTGTTTACAGAATTTTTCGCAACAAGGCCCCGGCAGCCTTTCCTTTTCCATTGTAGATAAGACTGTTGCAGCTTCTCAATGCAAAGCAGCACTGCGCGCCTCGGGGCGGTTCCACAGGCCAAGACGAGAGGACAACGCGTGGAGGGTCACGATAGAGGTGTAAAAACAAAGTGCAAGCCAAGCCCTCTATAAAAAAAAGAAGCCTTCAACGAACAACAAATGCAAAAACAAGCTCCCTACAGCTAAAGCCGCGGTTTGTAAGTTTTGGAATCTCGTCCAATCAGGCTGACAAACGGTTGAAAGGGTTAGGAAGAGCGAACACTAAATAATGAAGATTTATACAAAAAGGTAGACGAGGATTGGGAGAAGGAAGAGCAGTGTAGCAAGAACAGTTGGAAGTAAGGCAGGGTGAGTCGTGTTAATGAGACCTGCTGCTTCTTTGCTTCTTCGCCTCGATGTTAGAGTAGCACGACTTACTGTTAGTGGTATCAACATACGAGGTAGAGGAGAAGGACGTGAAAAACTCATAAAGAAAAGAGAATAATTTCATGAACAAAAAAGTTCCAAACTTCACTGAAATATGTAAGCGAATATGCTAGCCGCGAAGACGCGTAAGGAGAACCTCGAACCTCCCCGCCTCGACCGGATGATGTGATCGGAGCCAACCAGCTCGACTTCGACCTCCGATGCCCTTGTGTGGGAATGAGAAATAAGAAAGACCTCTAGAAGCAGGAGCAACAGGAAGCAAACGAGACGAAGAGTCAGATTCAACTACGACAGAAACGAAAACGGACGCGAATGTAGCCCTCATTTATCAAATTATTTTTCAAATTCTTTATTAAATCGTTTTGCAGTCTACAAAATCCTTCATTCCGTTCTATCCCAGCCTCTCTTTCCCATCGCTCTTTTCCATTTTTTTTTTAGCAGGTTGGGAGACACCCTCTCCCCTGTCGCTTTGGCTGTGTTGTCGTCTCTGTGGCCAGGGGGGAAAGCGCCGCCGCCACAAAATCTTGCAAAAGTAATTGTAATTGTGCCTGAAATTTAGCAATTACTGACGCTAGAAAGTAATTAAATTACAATTACAATTCCTTTTAGCCAAAAGTAATTATTACAATTACAAATTACCAGGAAAAGTAATTAAATTACAGTAATTTAATTACTGTAATTGAATTACTACCCAAGTATGGCTTGATGCTATGCATTACCTGAATGCATCGTGGGAAAGCGTCACCAGCGAAACAGTCAAGAACCGTTTCAGGAAGTGCGGGTTTCGGCGTTCGCCAGAAGTGGAGGAGCCCGAGCCCTGTGTGAGCAGTGACCCCGACCCTTGCGAGACTGAAGATGATCACATGGACGAAGAGCTCCGGTCCGCCGGCGCGGAGCTGGCGTTCAGCGATTTCGTCCCTGTGGATGACGACGTCCCAACGTGCGACCCCCAAACCGTTGCTGACATCGTGGCGTAGTTGCAACAGGGCAAAATTACCAGAGACGAGCACGACGACGACGAGGATGAGCCAGAAACTCCTCCAAGAGCTACTTTCGCTCAGGCGGTCCCTGCGCTGGATGTGCTGCGGAGCTACTTTGCCACGAAAAATAACCCTGCAGCCGAGGGAGGCCTGCAGACGCTGCAGAAGGAACTGTTCCTGCCAAAAGGTCAAGGTGCGTGCCAGCAGAAGCTGACAGATGTTTTTGGGAAGTGAGGTACTGGTATTAAATGTTGTTCAGCTGCACTCGCGACTTTTGTTTTTCTCCTACTGCCTAGAAATGTCAAGTTCGGATCATACATTTTCCCGGATCGTATGTTTTTTTCCTCGCGTTTTTTTTTTCAAAACGTATCAACAAGGTTCTACTGTACTTCATCTTCCCTGTCCTATCTTTCTTGTGCTTCCAGAAATATTCTGCAGTTAATCACAATAAAGCCCTCAACTTTATCAATTTCATGAACCACGAAATTCGTCCAAATAAAAAACTCGGGGTAATCCTCGCTACAACCCGATGCATTACAGCTCGTGGACACTCACTAGTAATCTCGGGAGGCTCTAGTATGCTCACGATGCAAGACACAAAACACTGACAGCACGAAAAATTGCGAACGACCACTTAAAGTGTGCAGCAACTAACAGCGGTAGGTGCTGCATTGTGGGAAGGCATGTTGAAGGAGATTTGCCTTCAGCCAGTGTGCTTCACACTGACTGAAGGCCAAGTAGAATGTTTGCAATGGGTTCTTTGCTTTCAGTGGAGACGTAGGAGAAAATATGCGAGGAGATGTTTGCTTCGGTGGAAAGATTGTGCGAGATGCTGCATGTGTTGAAGAAGGGCACAGAGATGTGCTTTCGTTTTTGCTGAAACGCTCTTTCAGAATGGAGCGCCCGCGGTGGAGTAACAAAAGCATGTACGCAAGTAGTTCTGTGGAGGCACGGAGAGCCCACAAGAACGGAAGCTGGGCAGCGGCACTGGGGAGGCGAGGGAGTGTGTCCGCGCAAAGCGACCATGTGGGTATTTCACAACGGCGGCTACCAAAGGGGGGGGAAAGAGAGGGAGAGCGTCACCGGAGGGTTTGTGGATGTAGCAGGAACGATGGAGGCACAGGGAGTACTCTTGCCGGGATCACGTGAGTTTTTCGCAGAGGGGGGGCGGGGGGGAGCGAGAGAGAGCCTAGCGCAGCAATTGGCGTGCATGCGCGAGGAACGATGGGAAGAGGGAGAGCAGCGACTCTGTCGTAGAGTGGGCTTTTGCGTTTGTACATGAGCATTTTTTGCAGAGAAGGGACAGTAACAGCTACCGCCGTAAAATTGGTGCTTTTAAAGGAGACTCCAGCAATTTTTTATGGTCACCGAGTTGCCTCAAAATTGGCATAACACACCGATAGACACGGTTGTACCAGTCCCCCAAGTGATTTGTAAAAAGAACAAATATTTGCTAAGTTATTGAATTTTCTAATTACATTCTCATTGTGTCTCCCCAAGCTGAGAGCCCCTACAAGCAACACTGAAGCGTAACAACAGAAATGGTACAAAGTGGGCAGTAAACCACGTTCCCAACTGATTACAAGACGGTTTGATGGTGGGGAAAGAATGCTTGGAAACTCATTGACTGAGAAGCAGGAAAAAACACTCAACATACTCTGTTTAAGACCACCTGCAGGACCCGAAAGTCTGTAACATTTGTGACGTCAAACCACTAGAGAGGGCGAGAAAATTTGAATGTTGGATTCGGCATCATCCTGATTTATGGTTTCCTCAATGACTATTTTGAACTTTGAGAAAACAAATAGCATACCATGGAGACTGAAGTCCAGGAATTCAGAGAATGCAATTTATTTGAGTAGCTCCAGAAACGGCCGCAGCACCCCTTAAGGCCCGTTCACACATACACCACAGTGCTTCCTCGGCATTATTAGTCGGCACCGGGAATAGTGCTGACCATGCTGATAGTACAGCACTGCATCAGTGTTATGTTCAAGTCGGCACTGCTGCGGCGCTGTTCCCAGTGTTGATCTGGCACCGGGATGCATGTGTGAATCGGCCTTTACGGTACCATCAACTATCCCTTCTTTGTACATGTGTGTGTGCGCTACATAACCGAGGCACTTCCTTTTCTGCAGATTCCACGGAGACTCACTCACCTTGAGTTGGTTGAACTTGAGCAGGTCGCTAACCACCTCAGCCTCCCCGAAGGAAGTGAGTAGCCTGCGCTGGTTGGATCGGGCTTCCCTGCTCGACTGGGCAGCCACCCGCGCCTTGCTCGTTGGATCCTGGTAAACGGGGGAGACAAGTCCGACGTCAACCGTCGGGTCGTTTTTGCGCGACTGTCGCTGTGTTCCCATTGCCGTAAAACCTCACCAGTATGGCAAAGTACAGCTACGCTTCTTTGCTCTAAAGCAGGGGTCCTCCAACTGGATTCCTACCAACTCAATGGTTCCCCACAGTCGTGTCGTGGGTGCTCCGAGGTCACATATTTTCTTGATCATTCCTGCCCTAAATAAAGTGTTTCTCCACTTTGAGCACTGTTTTAGTAGCTCTGAGTCACCTACTGATGTATGACCTTAAGCCAGAATGTCCCTCAGTATGAGCAGTATGGTTTATAAGTTGGGCTCCATGTTTTTGGGGTTTATCTTTCTTCAAAGTCGGGGTTGTTTCTTTGGGGTTTATTTTTTCCAGTGGATTCTATGTTTTTCGGTGTAAATATTTGGTGCCAAACCAAAAAATTAACATTTATCGGGGCTCATATTGAAGAATATGTGACATGGGCGTGGTATTCTCCAACCTCCAGAGAATATGCACAACCCAAATACTTAAGGAACATCCGCATATTGATGAAAGAAACGAGATGAGATGTGCAATTCTGAAGCGAGAAAAAGTCTCGCGGAAAGCTCGTTGGGGCTGCCATCCAGGTCAACGCAAAATAAAGCTGTAGAAAAATATTTCCTTTTCATGAAGCTCAGGTTTTTATAATTCGGGGCCGGTGCCTAAATGACCGCCTTAGGGAGCACTTCCGAGAGGTCGCCAATCCCAGCGAGGAAACAGTGCACCCAAATGCAGCACATCGCCGCACATGCGGAGAATGTGAGCCAAGGTTAAAAAAACACACGTGCTCGGGCGCCATCCTCAGAGATTCGGCAAGGAAGTTATCGAATCTTTTGCGATAAAAAACTCCGGAGTCAATGTCTTTTCCCCCTCGCTAGCCCTCTCTGATAGAGAGAGATTATCTGAGCCAAGAGCTGTCCGGGGTGATTAGACGACCTCGGTGAGCGACCCGACCCCAACAAGTCGACGCACCCAGCCGCCCCTCCCACACGCCCTTTCTTCCTTTAACTTCCCCCCTCTGCCTCTGCCCTTCCCCCTTTCCCTAAGTCTGCGCAGGGGATCATGTGTTCGCACCCCATGGAATAAACTTTGTTGAGAGTTGAAAGAATGTACTCGTCTGTGTTTCATCCTCTCCCTGTTTTATACTTTCTGTTATCTAGTACATCTTACCAACACGCTCGTTAGGAATATAATCCAAATCAACGTTTTCCGGTTTTCCCCGAATTTGAAAAAAAACAAACAAAAAACAATGACTGGGGGTTATTGGTATATTTAATGAAAACAGGGAACCCCGTTTATGAGGTCTGTAGGCTTCTGTATCTTTTAGCCTTCTCAAAGCCGAGACCTGGATGGGTTTCTCGGCCATCAATCGAGAGTGATACGGGGTTCCCCCGAGATCGAAAAGTTTGAGAGCTCCCGTTTTAAGACCCGACGTTTGGTTTTACCCCCAATTTCAGATTTGTGAAGCTTTCAACTAATCAACTATTGACACATCCACGCAAGGTGGAAAACCGGGCAAATTGCTAAGAGTCTCGGCATATTGAAATTATTGACACTCAAACACAGACTCGACAAAGGACTGGCGAAGGGAGGGAGGGGCACCGAAGAAACCGGATAAATATGCATACAGTCCTGCGCACCTACAAATTACCCGCGAATATCCGCGGGTGTCTGCAATGAAGCTGGCAGTTGCAAGTAAGGATTCACCGAATTTTAAGGGTACAATCCGAAAGAGGACATTGTTTGCTGCAGACAGAAGTTGGATGCCACCTCCAAGGTTTCCGCCTTGGGAGTCACAGCCGTGCACTTCACGTGTGTAAGGCTGTGGTTGTTCGAGTCAAGACTGCCCGATGCCATGATGGCTGTAGATCCTTCACCACAATAAACGACGTCCTCAGGTTGTACCTGCCAGCATGGAAGGTTGTTCTAGTCATAGTACCCAATCATTCAAAGGCCTACCCCTACACTGGTCGACAATCCCTGGACATTTCACGAGATTCGTGTTAGTCTGGTTTATGTGAAGTTTCCAGCCCCACACACTATATTCAAGCTCAGCATTCATGTTTTTCTACAATGTAGCAATAAATGAATGCGTGACATGTGCAGCATTAGGGAGGACCACATTACACAAGCATGCGTGATCTTCGAGCATAAAGTGTAACAAGATTTGTGCCATATCACTAAGCGGATGCAAACACAACTACTACCGTAACATACTGGGCAAGCACCCACTTAAAATTTAGAGATAATCACGAAAAAATGGGGGTTATGCACTTGTCCAGTCATCAATTTTACATATGAATGTACTGTGCATATTTTCTCAGATCATACAAATTTTGGAATGGGCGCTTAATGTGGAATGGGCGGATGCGTGGTATTCTACGGTATGTGTAATGCTCGTCGAGGTAGTTAAGATGCAAACACAGTGTTGACAGCGGGGAGGATGCAGGTACCAAAGTCACTATCCGTGTAGGGGCCTACTATAAACATATCGGGAGTACACAAAATTTAAAAGTGAAGCAACGGAACTTTGTTTTTGTGCCAAAATTCAGTAGTAGATTGCTCACAGTAAAAAAATTAGGTACATACAGATGTACACTCCATAAGACAGCTGGCACAAACACAAGATCAGCATTTGTTGTGCTGATCTCGTGTTCATATCATATATAACCTCTTCAAAGTTTACTCAGACACGACATTTACAAGCACCAGATTTTACCCCTTAGGTCTGTGCTCAAAATGAGAACTTTCAACCACACTAGTGATTGATGGCAGTCATTCAATCCTAAAAGAAAGAGAAAGAAAATTGGTGACCATGCCCTGTCTAATATGCATCAGAAAACTTGTCTAAACCTTACATTAAGGGTATTGGATATCACACAGAGAAACAAGTTTTGCACCAGCAAGTACGACCCCAGAGTTCCCCACCGACGCAGTTCCTGTGTTCTTGTACGACGAAGATGAAGGTGAAGATGAAGTAGTTGAAATGAAGGCAGCCACCACCGACCTGAGTCTCGTGCTGAGGCATGCAGCTGCCCGACTGCTTGAAGCGGGCCTTCTCCTTGACGTCCATCTTGTAGTAGCCCTCGCTGCGGGCGCAGCCGGTCACATGCACACGGGACTCGTCCTTCTTCTTCTTCTTAGTCGGGTTGGGGATGTTCGTTGGTGCACGGGCCGTCAAGGAGAAACCTCCCCGGGCAGTCGCACAACAAAGAATACAAAGCGAAGAAAGCAGCTTCGTCTCACATATTAAGGGCTGGACTCCAGGGAGTGGAAGAAGCGACGCATTTCATCATGCGGCAACTGTTGCACATTGCACAAGGCAAACATGCCGCAGGGTGAACTTTGTCGGTTGTTTGTTGCACATTTGCTTTAACGCTACAGGCTGGTGGTACAGGCTGGTGCTACAGGCTGGTGGTACAGTGGCGCATGTTGCGCCACTGTGCGACGGTAGCAGATATAAAGATACAAGTGCCCAAAACATGCCTATTCTACTTGGTGCCATAGGCTGGTGCTAAAAAACATTATGATAAGGATTATTTTACGAGAAACCACCATGCTTCCCGTTGTAGCTGGCGCCTGCCTCTTTCGTCTCTCCTGGGAACACATGCCAGCTAGGGCCCTTTTCACAAGTTGGGAACAGAGAAGGACTAGGCTCTTGAGCTGACAAACAACTCCAAAACTAATGTGACACCCATACCTTCCACAGAACTGCGAGTAACTCTTAAAACAAAGCATGTCAGTGGGTTTTTTCGCCAACCTTTAAGTTTGCCGTTAACCAACTAACTGCCACAAGATGTTTGAGCGTCATACCCCAACATCTAGCTCCAAGAGAGAATTCCCAACCCAATTGAGCTGAAACAGCATTCAATAAATCCAGGTGCATTTGAGTCCATACCCCAAATTGAGAGCACGGTCGGCAACGAAACAAATTTCCCAACCTCGACATTCCGTCGAACGCAGTGGAGGTGCAATAGCACTTGATGGGACTGATGGGATGGGACTTGCACGTGTTGGTCGCACCGCAGGAAGGAGGGGGGGTGGTGCACCAACAATCCTCTCATTCCTTTCACCCCCTACGGTGAGACCAACGCGAACAAGCAAGGTTCACGGGCGGTCCCCACATGAAGCGCTTCAAAACGAGACAAAACACACGAAAGAAAGGGGGCGCAGTGAAAGGATATGCGGATGGTCCACCCAGTGGGTGTCGTTGAGCCAGTATCCCTGGATCTCATCCTGCAGCATGGCGTCGTAGCTCCGCTTGAGGTACTGCACATCCTCCGCATCCACCCCCGTCCTCAGGAACTCGTACAGGATATTCATTTCCTCGACGACGTTCCGCTTGGCAAATGCCACAGCCCGCGACAGCTTGGTCACGGGCTCCAGCAGAAGGGGCTCCTCCAGCAGGAGCCGCTCCCTCGCCGACTGGCGTTCTTTACCCTTCCGCGAGTTCTTGCGCCCCGTCGGAGTCTTGGGCGGTGACGCTGCCGGATGAACTAGACTCTCGAGCACTTCCACGGGAGGAGGAGGTGGCGTGGTCGCCATCCGCGTGTACTCGTGGTCGCCCGTCGTCACGAGGTCCAACGGCGTTCCGTCGCCGTCCGCGACATTCTGCCGTGGCAGGCAGTAGCAGTGGTCTGACCTGAGGTAGTTTGGAACATCCTCCTCATCCTTCACGTCTTCTCCGACCTTCGTCGCGAGGGCGCCCGTGACGTCCCCATTAACTAGGAACTCGTTTTTCGCCGGAGTCGGAAGTTCCGGCTCCGCGAACCCGGCCGCGAGGGCCATGAGCGCTTCCGACGCTTCATACTCGAGGTCGCGGGATTGGGGAGGCTCAGTGGGCGCGGGTTCCACCTTGGGAGGCTCCGCGGTTGGGCGGACGTCTGGGACTCCCGCCGCGACGAACCTCGCCTCGGGCAATTCGGGTTCCAGCTGCTGCGTCTCGGCGTCGTCTTCATGAGGCGATGGCGTTGGAGACGGGGTGACGTCAACGTCGACATCCACTTCTTCGGACTTGATGTCCTCTTTGGTTGGGGTTGGAGATGCCGCGGGGCTCTCAGCCGTGCGGACTTCTGCCTCGTTGTCTCTGCAGGGTAGAGAGTGGTCGTTTGTAACCAAAGGGCGTGAAACAGTCGAAGCCATTTACAACGACCCAGGAATAACAAAATATTGACTATAGACAATGCATAAAAATTGAAGTTAATGTAAGGATGCAGGCGAGCTAATTAAGAACTGACATTTTTTAGCTCCGAAGAGTGGGGAGACAGGGCCTGTTTCCCTACTCTCCAGGGCCAAAAAATGTAACATAAAAATTATCATACGCAACCCATCTTGACCAATGTCTGCTTTATTAGCTCAGAAAAGAACTTGTATCATACATAAATCATCACTAACAGACTCTGTCATTCATCAAATTTGTTACATCATAATAATGAAGAATCTTCAAAAAACAAACGATTGTGTAGTCTGCACCTACAGATTGTCTGTACCGCATAAAATTTAATCTTTTAAGCATGTATAGTCTGTGGTTTATAGTCCGGAAAATGTTGTAATGAACTGATCTTCGTATCATGGTCCTGCATGTGTAAACATGGTGACTGTACCCAAGTCTAGGGTTTTCTAAAGGACAGAAACGATTTAGAAAATACCATTCTTGGGTAAAGTCACCATGTTTAAACTTTACCAGCTCGTCTGCTACCTCGTTTTATGTCTGCATGTATATATACTTTCAATGTGATTTGAGCTCACTTTTTAACTCGAAGCAAGGCCGTGGATATAGCAATAACTGTGTCTCAAATGCGGAGAAAATATGTGCCAAAGATGATAAATAAAAACTATTGCCAGGTATCCAGAAAAACATATCAAACGCCGTTGTTTGGCACCAAGTGCCTCCGGGTTATGTTGAGAAGCGCTTGTCCAAGAAAATTTATGCTCCAATAGATGCAACGAGTTCAACTCCATCGCATCGTATGTGCCACCTTGACAATATTGTGGCGCAGAACGGTAGAGAAGGAAGGGGGAGTGGAGGCGAGGATACAACTTATTTGTTTGCTGGATTGGATAAACAAAAACACAAATGGAAAACACTACGTGCCACACAAAAGAGAACAGAGGGGGGGAAAAATTCTTATGCAGTCATTTTTCCACAGCCAGACACACACTCCTCGAGGCACTCGTGCGACGATCAAAGCTACGCACACGCACTGTTTACTCCTTTAGAATTGCCACAATTGCAGGCGAGTGCAGCGTGCGCGTGAAATGGCACGTGCTGGACAGCTGAAAGTCTATTTTTAACATTGCAGGTGGCAGGTCTTTTCATTTTTCTTATGTTTGATATGATATTATGGGGCAAACGGTTGCCATATTCATATCCAGTAAAAATATGCTGGAATTCATCTGTAAACTAATTTTTGTTAAAACATCTCTTCCATTCTTTTTTTTTAATAAAATGAGCAGTAAGATATGGAAACAGAAAAATTAAACATGGCTGAGGTTCTTAGTCACTCACCGCTTAGTGATTTCTGGCTCCGGCTCCTTCTTCCTCTCTTCAATGTCGGACACAAAAAGTTCCCGTCGAGCATCGGGGCTCCTTGTGACCGGCTTGTCTCGACTTTCTTCTTTACTACTGGCCACGACTTCGGCATCCTCTTCCTCCGATTCAGAATCAGACTCTGATTCACCAGATTCTGATGACGAGGCTTCTTCGTCCCCATCTTCTTCCGAACTGCTTTCAGACTCTGAACTCTCGTCCGACTCCGACTCGGAATCTGCATCCCAAACACAAGAAAAGGAGTTAAGGCCTCTTCACACAATACCGTTTGCTTCCGCTGCACTATGTTATGGTAACTTATGTCTCCTTATGTTGAGAGCCACTGGGACATCGTTGCTTTGCATTAAGTGAGGTAACCAGTTCAAAAAGTAGCTCTGCATGCAACATACGAAGCATGAATGTCCCCGTAAGAAAACGTCAGAAAATCTAAGCAATTGCTCCTGTCTGAATAAACCTCTTGCACAACAAGGGCTGTCAATAAAACTTGCATATGAAGCTTATGTACTCTTTGCATGACCTGCCTAAGAAACTTGTACCTTGAGCACGAAGAATATGTCCAGAAGACGTACAACAGCATTCACTTAAAGAATTGGCACTATGTTTTACGAACATGGCCTGTGAATGTACTATCCCAGAAAGCATCGTGTAACCAACTGCAGTGGTGGAACTGACAAGCGGGGACTTGCAGCACCTCTTGTAACATGAAAAAACGGGTTCTGGAGCAGAGCTGCCCACTTTTGGAGCGGACAATCTTGAGCATTCATGTCAGGAAATTTAATATAATCATCACGAACCAGCGCAAGTAGACAGTTATTCAAAATCCAAACACACAAAAAAATACACTCACACAGCGCTGAACTATCAACTGAATTGTATTTCAAACTTCGTCTTCTTCAACCCCAAGGAATAAGTTGCCAAGGAAGAAAAGGGGAAAGACAAGGCAAATGGGGGAAGGCAAAAGAAAAAGAAAAGGAAAACCTTTTCTTTTTCTTTTTCCCCTTTTCTTCCTTGGCAACTTATTCCTTGGGGTCGAAGAAGACGAAGTTTGAAATACAATTCAGTTGATAGTTCAGCGCTGTGTGAGTGTATTTTTTTGTGTGTTTGGATTTTGAATAACTGTCTACTTGCGCTGGTTCGTGATGATGCCTTACCAACTCGCCCAATCTGCAGTATTAACAGGTTTTATATAATCTCTTTGAAATTTAACCTGTGGAAACAACTGCAGTTGTTGAAGTGTTGGGAGACTACTTAAAGTGACAGCTACGGGAGACCTGGCCACTACAGATATTTATTTATTGTGCAATCAAATGCCGGTAATTTTGAAGATGTCTTAATTAACCTATTAGGAATACCAATGTCATCTTCGGTCTCCATTTGATGTAAAAATCTGTTTTTGGTTACTTCGAATGACGGTGACGTAATTGTCGTAAGTTCGGTACAGTATAGACCACTTACAACGTAACCGCTTATAGTGCAGGACCGGGTATAACGCGGCTTTTTTAAACCACCAGTTCGCCTCCCATAGAACTCCATGTAATTACATACCGCTTAAAATGCAGGCGCGCGAAGGGAAATACCGGTTATAGTGCGGTTTTCGGAACAGCCCGGCGACCGCGCCGACTGACCGACGCAGAGAGCACGCTTCCCTGTGCGATACTAGATAACGGCGCGAGCCGCAAGCGGCACTCGCGGCGCAAGGAGGTTGCTCGAAGAAGCGGGGAGAAGCGAAGAGAGAGGCTTCAGTCGCCATAGCGACGGAGGGACGCACACACGTGTCGTTCACGTGCGTGCGTCCCTCCGCTGCGTTGGTTGGAAACAACCGCAATGACAGACCAATTGCAGGTCGAGGAGAAGCGTTCGCGCACGTTGCATGCCCGTCGCGGGCCGGCCGGCCGGCTGCTTCTATCCGCAAACATGGCGTCTGTTTTGATTGTCTACGTAGACGGCGTGGTAGAAGCTCATCGTTCCGCGTAAAAGCGCTATCCTTGACTGTGAATTTTCGTTGTGTGTCGCTATGATAACCCAGCACGTACTAGAAGGGAAGATCCACCTACTCGTGCGGCGATGTTGTGGCGGCACTCTCAAGATAGCAGAAACGCCCGTGTCGTCGTGTTTGTTTACTTCGACTACAGTGGTGCTTTCTAAGCATTTGTGTTTTCGAACATCGCCCGGATTTCTTATTTGGAGCATTTCATGCCTGTGCTCAAGTTGAAGGTATTACTGGCGCGTACCGTATAAAGGATGCGCATTTTCACGCGTTTTCATCGCCGGAGAAAAGTTATTAGGGTTAGCAATCCTGAACGCTTGCAACGTCCGTCCGCAACCCGCGACGCCATTAAAAGGCTGCGCCAGGCAAAAGTCGCTCCTTTCTTTCAAAATCTGTGACACACTTGAGAGAAAAGTGTACTAGTCTGGTGAAATAAAGACTTTCCTCAAACTAAGCTTTATTTTTCATCTAACATAAAATAAATTGTTTTAGAAAGGTAAGTTGTCTGATGGCATGCATTTTGGCCTGAAAAATTGATGTTTTGGTTATAGCGCGGTACCGCTTATAGTGGGGATTTTTGTGACTCCCGCGACATACGTTATATGCGGTCTACACTGTATCAAACTGGACTTTCGAGTTGAATGAGTCTCATGTTGCTTCCTAAGCAGCAGAAAGGGGGGGGAGGGAAGGAGAGAAAAGAGTGTTAGCACAACGCATCACCCCCCACCCCCCGCAAACTCCGTGCGGCGCTCCGCCATTGGTTGCATGTGCAACGACGTCAGATCAACGGCTGCGATCTGTTGCCGACGCTCTTTCGCATGGGGGGCGGGACCAACGTACCCGAGTCTGCCTTGTCGCTGTCGCTCTCCTGGGTGCTGTGCTCCTCCTCCACGACGGGGGCGCTCCCTTTCCTCTGCCGCGGCGACTCGGATTCGGAATCCGAGAGCTTGTCGTGCTCGCCGTCTGAAACAAGAAGGGCTGGTTGGTTCGCCGGTTTGTTCTGGGCAGACTTGAGCGCAGAAAGCATTTCGGCACTTTCGCCGTTGCCCCGACTCGTCGATGCAACAGTGTGTCGTGGGCAGAACAAGATCCACGTATTCGACGTCTTACAGTGTTAGTTCGAAGCTGGACAGCAACACCTGCAAAGTTAGCGAGCAGCACCCACCAAGGGTCGACACACCGAGAATATGCACTGCATATTCTCGGTGCAGTAAAAGCTGCAGTATAAGAAGTATAAGCTGCAGTATAAGAAGCCTCCTTGGATTGCTGCTCAGTATGTTGTTACACGAGACCGCCCTCTATGTACAACTGCAATGCGATGCATGCAGTAGGACAGACGACATATAAGCAGAGTTGTACGTAATGCGTTACAAGTAATAGATTACTTGTAATCGATTACATTTTACTGTAATTTTGTAACGCTTCAATTACTTCCTTTAAGGAGTAACGATCTATATAATTTAATTACTTTTTTGTTATAATCAAATACAAAATTATCCATTACAACTTTTCTCTCAGTGTTTTTTTTTTTTTTTTTTTTTGAGGGGGGGGAGTGGTTAGATGTGCTGGAGTTACTGAGCTCTAATAACGGTCAATTATTATTTTTTTTTTTTTTTCTTTTTCGAAACTGCTAAGCACGGGACTTCGAGGATTGGTAGGCCACTTCACTATGCTTCGTTTCGTGGGTACATTTTTTGGGGGGTAGACCGGAGACTACGTCCAGGTATGACCTTATCTAGCATCTTGTGAGTAATGTATTTAAACAGCACTCTTTTTATTTCTTTATTTGTTTTTCACGAGAGGGATTCGGTGTGTTGGCGTCACTCACTCAACTTTAAGCAAAAACAATCAAGGTTTTTTTTGTTTGTTTTTTTAACCGAGCGCGAAATTTTAAGTATTATGTTACCGTAAAAAAAACAAAAATTGAATGAAAAGTAACGTGGGAAGTAATTGATTACTTTAGAGTAATTTTTCGATTACTTTTCTTGAGGCTGTAATTGTAATTGTAATCGGTTACTTTTACAGTGAAGTACGTGTACAAGTCTGCATATAAGTCTCTTAAAGGACACATGCAAAGGAAAAAACATTTTTTTTAAACAGCTTAGATGGAAAAAGGATATCATAAAACAATTTTACAACCAAGAAAAAAAATTTTTAGAACTATATTTACAGCGCTATGCGAATTTGTAGTTGGCGCTGGCGGGCGCCGCAAAAAAGTGGCCCTTGACGGGCCCATATTTGTCACGTGGTGCTTCCGCTCTTTCGGAAGCTTCCTATGGCCTCTAAAAGTAACTTATTCATCTTTGTTTGAAGTATAACAAAAAAACTAGGATGAATAAGTAACTTTTAGAGCCCAAAGGAAACTCCTGAAAAAGCGCAAGCAGACGTAATAGACCTCTGCGCCAATCAGACGACGGCGGCGGCACCCCGAAGCAGACGAACTTGTGCAGCGGCGGCGACGGCGGCGTGGAGAAACGCGTTGAAGCGGTGTTCGCACAACGCTGAGCGTGCGGCGGCGACACAGCGCGGCGGCGCGCGGGCCTATCACGTGACCAGCAACGGCTCCCGCGAGCGCCAACTACAAATTCGTATAGCGCCGTAAATATAGCTCTAAAAATTTTTTTTCTTAGTTGTAAAATCGTTTTATGACATCCTTTTTCCATCTAAGTTGTCTAAAAGAAAATTTTTTTTTCTTTGCATGTGGCCTTTATCTTGTCTGGCTTCCACATCTTTCATCTGCACTGTCTTCAACATCCGTGTCTGTCTCATTGCACAAGCTTCAATAACTTCTTGCACCCTCACCAGAGTCATCCGGCTTTTTGCTGTCCTCATCGTCGAGGGGAGGTGGGGAAGGCGGTTTTCGTATTCTCTGTAAAGTAACAAGGTGAAACATTCTAAAAACGGGTTGCACACAACTTACAACTCGTGAGTAAAGAACCCAAACTGAACTTACAGTTTCGAGCTAAGTTCCTTAGAGAGATTTGGTAAAGATCAGAGGAAAACAGGTACTGTTCAAACTATGCACGGAAAGTGTTTGTCTTCAATCTTCACCCAACCTTCCATGAGGGATTGATAACCTCCATACCTAAATCCACGGACACTCCACCACACTCCTTACACTTTGAATCCATCAGCCACAAAGCACCATAGCATTTTTCCAGATAAATTTTACATCAATCCAATGCACTCTATACTTTCTGGAAGACCCTACCCAGTGATACGACGGAATAAAAAAGGCCACAACCCATTGGCTGTATGAACAGTAAAGTAGTTGGAAGTCATGGTATCCCCAAAGTGTTGCAACTTGAATGAGAGCATGCAAGGGGGCAAGCAAGGTTATTTATAGATATTTACACCATAACCTAAGGGGAAAAAAAAGGAGGTTGGAGGCAGAAATAAGTGGCTTCACAGCCTTTCAGAGTAAACTTATAAAGAAAGAAGAAACTCACCCTGAAGGATGGCATCCTGGGCATCGCTGCACGCAGTCCAAATCCAAAGCCGGAGCCAAAACCCTCGCCAATGGAGAAGCCGGATTCCCGAGAGCCATCGAAGAGTGACGACAGTGAAGAGACGGCAGGCTGGCTGCTCGTGGCTTCCTGGGGAGCCACCTCTGATGTCTTGGACTGCACGAAGGATAGCATTATGACCCAGCACGTAAGTACTGGAGCAAGCAATAGCAGAACAAGTACTGTTTACACTGCACAAAATTTGTAGTGCAAGCTAAGTGTGCTGATTGGGGAATGCCACTTGTCATCCTTTTTCTGTTGACCCCTCCAAGGGTTTAATGCAAGGGTCTCAAACTCATTTGAGTGTGGGGGCCAGATCACTCGCCCCCGAAAGGGCGAGGGCCAACAGAGAGATGCCCCCCCCCCTCTGAGTTGGCCCTCGTCATTTGGGGTCAATGTTTTGCTATTTTGGGACAAAAATATAAACAAACAATCAGCCGTGTTGTTTCATGCTGGAAACGTTGACTGTCCCAGGAACACCCCAGAGGTTTTCCGGAGAAAGAACCTTGTGTTTTCTGCTTTTTGTAAGCTCACCGTTTCGCCATCTTCAGCTTTTATTCGCAACGACTGCTTTGGGCCCACTCCTGTTGTAATAAGAAGGTTTAAAACACGAGCATACTAGCAGTTTTTACTATATCGAGAACAAGCACACCATCCTTGACCCGTCGCACAATTCACTAAACTCAACATCGTAAAAAAAAATCTTCATATGGCAGTTTTTTTTTTTTTTTTTTTTAGAGAAAAAATACTTGCATTTTAAATGTTTTTTTGTCAGCCAGAAGCCCAAGTTCATAGCTTCATCTTCTGCAGTTGCTCCTGCTAAGCAACAGTTCGTACAGCCGAGGTGTCTCCCTGAGCAAAAAGCTGTGCCAGCTCTTTGCTCAGGGAGGCCTAGTAGTGGTAGTGCCGTTCCAGTTGATTTACATAGAAAAGGTAGAGAAGCAAATATTTAGACAAAGTAGTACTCTGTCCAAACGAAAACGGAATAGTACAAAATGTGTGAACATGTTATATGAGCAGAGATCTGTTTCGAATGAAAATGAATCGACAATATAAAACTATTATTAATGGCGCTCGAGGCATGGGAATTGATGCTCGAATCCGCAGAAGGCTTGCGGGCTGCATCCCAGAGAGTCGCAGCCGCATGTGGCCCGTGGGCCGCGTGTTTGAGATCTCTGGTTTAATGCATTATCCTATGATCATCATTTAGTTCATCATTTCTCTCCTTTAGTACCATTCGGGAAGGAAGGAAGCTATGATCAGAAAATCGTAGGGTCGCCACGACGTGAAGAGTGCTTTTAACCTAGAAAGAGAAAGACGAGGCCATACAGAAACTGTCGTTACGTGGCTAATGGTACTAGATGATGTTACTTTGTTTCAGCTTCGGTCCGAGCGCGGCCGATGTTATGAGCCGAAGGGCCAATCAAACAGCGCAAAAAGCACAGCGTCATGGCGTGCTATCTGCGTTTGATAGGACTAGCCGGCGGTGGAGCGCGCACAGAGAAATTGCGAATACCGGTTAGTCCTATCAACTGCAGAGAACACGCCATGACGTTGTGCCTCTTTCGCTGTTTGATTGGCCCTTCGGCTCATAACATCGGCCGCGCTCGGACCGAAGCTGAAACGAAGTATAGTGTTACTTTCCATGAAGAAAATCTAGTTAACAAAAGGTACTTTGTAGGTGACATTCATTTCAACATCCTATATGTTTATATTCACATTTAAGAATATTATTTTCTGAAATATGACTACACCAGGTAAAATAGCTGATGCACAAAGTGCCCAAGGGACAACAACCTTTTTAAAGGCACACAATAGGTTCTTGACTTCCCTTTTTATGTTTCCAACGTTATCTACTGTAAAGTTCCGAGAGAACGCCCAGCCATGAGAGATCGGCCATCCCATTTTTCTGGCTAAATATCTGTAACATAAGAATTCCGAAACATTGCCCACTCCCCATTCCCATCGGACGTCACGTGATGTCAGACAAAAATCGCATTAACTGCGCAATTTGCTGTACTGGCCCTTCTGACAAGCGAAATGATAGCGGATTCCCGCGTTCTTGTTTGCAATCTGCACGCGCAATATCGGCTCCCTTAACACGTGAGTAGTTCCTGTGTGTATGTTTCACCGTGAAATGTGTATCTGCTGCGTCTGCATTTTGCAGTATCCATTCCCATGACAAAGTTTGTAGAGGATTTCCGCAGTTTTGTTCGCGATCTCTGCGCACAATCTCAATTCCACGCAAGTTGGCCCCGCATGTACATAGCATCGTGAAATATGATTCTGGAGCGTTTGCAATCTGCAGTATTTGTTTCCGTAACATATAAGTTTGCAGCATGCAGCAGACTCCCGCGTTTTTGTATGCAATCTGCGCGCGATTTCGCTTCTCGTGACAGGCAAGTTTGTAACGGGTTCCCACGTGTTTATTGCACCATAAAACTTGAATCTGCTGCGTCTGCGATTTGCAGTATTCTTTCCCGTGAGATGGCAGTTCTTGGCAGGTTTCCGCGGGTCCTTCGCACCATGAAACGCGAATCTGCTGCGTCCGCAAGCTGCGGTATCCTTCCCTATGACACAGGAGTTTGTAGCGAATTCCCGCGTGTTTATTGGGTCATGGAACATGATTTTACGGTGTCCGTGGTCTGCGTGATCAGTTCCTGCGCCGTATGGTTTGTAGCTGGTGCCAGGGTGTTTATCATAGCCCAACCCATGTTTTTCACCATTTATATCTTCATTTTGGGTGGGTGTTCCTTTGGAACTTTACAGTATATACATTGCACAGTCTATAAAACCAAAGTATGTGTATGCATATGTGTGCCAGCTCATCATAAAAAATGCAAGTCAAGGTTTATTACCGAGTAATGTGAAATAGGAGCAAGAGTCAGAGAAGGAAATTGCCACTAATGCTTTCATTCTCTTGTAATGTACCTTTCATCTATTTTAAGCCATTAACAACTAAATACTTTTTCAGCTGCAAGAGGAGGGCAGTGTTGCCTAATTGATGTAAGGCCATCGGGTGCCATCCCAGTGGTTTGTTGCTTTGCTTCTTAACACAGGTCTCAGCACAAAAAAGAAAAATTAAATGAATTTCTGGTCATTAATCATGCAAAAATAAGATGCACATGATGCGATTTCTAAATTTCGCAAAGCATGTAAATCGAAGTTAAAGTCATAAAAACAGAGTCAAAAGTCTCATCACAAGATACATAATCTGTCCTCTCTGATCCAAGTTATTCGTGCCTTTCGAAAAGTATCATGCCTAGTATCTATCAAACTGTGAACGTTAGGCAAAAATGACCGCATCTCCACGTGGTGAATGATGTTGATTGGGGCGAAGCTCTGGTGGTGCTTGTCTGCATAGACGCTGAGCCGCAGCATGCCGAGCCTTTCGTTCGTTTTCATCCATGTCAGAAACAGAATGTGTGGTATGGAATGTGGTTATTATACGCCTTTGAGCATTTGACCGCAGCGCCCTCTCGTCTAGAAACGTTTAGCCAATGCAAGCAAAGTTTAACGCGATTATATACGCATTTCACCGCAGCGCCCTCTCCTGTATAGACGTTGAGCGGCTACATGCAACGTTTCATCCATGACATCCCCAGCTCTTGAGTTACCACCACATCTCAGAGCCCCCTCCTCGTCCCGCAGTCGTGGCCGAGTGGTTAAAAGACACATGCAAAGGAAAAAAACATTTTTTTTAAATGGCTTAGATGGAAAAAGGACGCCATAAAACGATTTTACAACGAAGAAAAAAAAATTTTAGAGCTACATTTACGGCGCAAAACGAATTTGTAGTTGGCGCCCGCGGGCACCGCGGAAAAGTGGTCCGTATTTATCACGTGACTGGTCTTTATTTATCACGTGGTGCTTGCGTTCTTTCGGAAGCTTCCTATGGCCTCTAAAAGTAACTTATTCATCTTTGTTTGAAGTATAACAAAAAACTAAGATGAATAAGTAACTTTTAGAACCCAAAGGAAACTCCTGAAAAAACGCAAGCAGACGTGATAGACCTGCGCGCCGGTCAGACGACGGCGGCGGCGCCCCGAAGCAGACGAACTTGTGCGGCGGCGGCGACGGCGGCGTGGAGAAACGCGTTGAAGCGGCGTTTGCACAACGCTCAGCGTGCGGCGGTGACGCAGCGCGGCGGCGCGCGGGCCTATTACGTGACCAGCGGTGGCTCCCGCGAGCGCCAACTGCAAATTAGTATAGCGCCGTAAATATAGCTGTAAAAATTTTTTTTCTTCGTTGTAAAATTGTTTTATGGCATCCTTTTTCCATCTAAGCTGTCTAAAAAAAATGTTTTTTTCCTTTGCATGTGTCCTTTAAGGCGATGGACTAGAAATCCATTGGGGTCTCCCCGCACAGGTTCAAATCCTGTCGATCGTGCAAGCATTTTTTTTTTTTCTTTGCCTTACACGAGCACATGCTCACGTCCTCGTGAGCACGTGAGCACGTGAGCACAAGCACGAGCACCAGCAAGATTGATGAGAGCACGGACGCCCGACAGACAAGGCTAGACCCTAAGGAGCTTCGCCCCAAAACATCTGTCCGGTCAGAAAACAATAAGAACTTCCAACATCGCCCTAAATATCGGCGATCTAACAGTTCAAGGGCTTCTTGGTCTCTTCTTTAACAGTGACTACGGCTATGGCCATAGAGAAGCAGTCATTTTTGTCTTCTTTTTCTGCGACGGTGTCTTTCTCTTTGAGGACAATATGGCAAAGTCAGTTGTTGTGGACGGACGGTGAGGTCATCTCCAATAAAAACTGGGGATAATTATAACTGATGCTGGCTACAACTGCCAAATATTGTTTGTACTCCCACGTAAAAACAGGAATCAGCTGATCTCAAGTTCCTTTATCATCAAACAGCACAATCTATCGCATTAGTTTGCCTTAACCAGCACATGTACCATTAACATTATTCATATCCATATATCTATTAAAAAAAGCACTGGATGAAAGAAAAGTAAACAAAATTTCTAGACACTTCTTAACCGAAGCCACACCACAACGAAACCGAAGTAAAACGGAGCAACTTCACAAGGATTGCCCCAACCAGCATGCTGGGGTTGCCAACCTGGTCTAAAGCTTCCAGAACTTCCAACTCTAAACTTGCGTCTATCGCACACACTTCCAGATTTAACAATCAACACTCACAACCCTCAAAAAGACAAACCAAACCGCAACCGACGGTCCTCACCTTGGAGGCCGCCGACACCTGCTCGTCCCACCAGGCCTCGAAGCGCTTGAAGGCGTAGTTCTCCACCATGCGCTTGCAGATGTCCCGCTTGACAATCTCCCGCAGCTCCGCCACCAGGGCGCCCAACACCGCACGCACTGTGGCCGCGTTGGGGTCGCTGCTCCACGTCCCAGGTGGCGGCGCCCCGCCGCTCGCCTGGGGGCTGCCCCACGGGGACGCGCTCGCCCTCCCCGCTAGCGCAGACCCGTACCACCGGTACGGCGAGGGCGGCGGCACCCTGCCGTACTCGCGCACCGCTCCGTAGTGGGACGGAGGTGTGCTGGTGCCCGGAGGGTAGTACGGGGACGGCGGCGGGTAGTGGTGGGGGGCGCGGGCCGGGGAGAGGTGCACAGGGTGCGTGCTCCCCGACGAGCCGTACTGGTGCAGCGGAGGGGGAGGGTAGTTGGGGTTGTACGAGTGGAGCATCGGAGGGGGAGGAGGGGGCGGAGGTGGTGCGCCGGCCGCCGTGGAACTCGCGTATGCGTACGAGGCCGCCGTCGGAGACACGTGCGGGACGTGCTGAGAGTGTGAGTGCGGAGAAAGCGCACCGGCGGTGCCCCCAACGCCGGAGCCCATGCCGGGCTTCCAGATGCCCATCTGGGCCATCATCTGCACCTCCTGGCTCGGGTACATGGGGTGCGCGCCGGACGGGTAGTGCGACGTGCTGGCGGCATAGAGCGCCGCGGTAGCGGCAGACAGCGGGGAGGGGTACCCCGCCGCCGACGCAACGACGGGTGCCGCCTCGTGGCCAACGTAGGCATTGAGCGGGGGCCCGGGCGGCGGCGCGTTCACTTCCAGCTTCTCGTCTCCACTGCTTAACGACGAGAGCGACATGCGGTCGTCGTCGTCGTCATCCACTGCCGCTTCCTTCTCGGTGCTGCCATCGAGGTCGCCGACATCGCCCGGGCCATTGAGGTTGCTTTTGTTAAGGTTGAGATTGCTGAGGATCTTCAGCTGGCTCTCCTGGTGGACAATACTCATCCGGTCGTCTTCCTCGCCGGACGGCGGCTCGGGTAGTTCATCGTGGACAGGCGTTGAGTCTCGCGTGCTCGCTGTCGACTGGTTCGTGGCCTCGTCGTTGACGGCGAGCGGCTCCGAGTCCGACAGCGCGGCCGCCCCGCCGACCTTCGTCTCCCTCGTCACTCGCGCCCAGTGGTGGTACTCCTGGTACGAGAGGAAGGGCGACGGAGGCGTTGACAGCACCTCGAATGATGCGTCCTCCTCTTCGTCCTCGGGAGGCGGCGGAGGCGGCTCGTCCTTCTCCGGCAGGGGAGGCAGCGGGGAAGAGTCCGGCGGGAGCGGAGGCATCGACGCGACGTCGGAGAACGATGCCCCTTCGGGCAGTGGCGGCGCCGCCTTGGAGACGGGCGACTCCTGCTGCTGCGGTGTGCCGTCGAAGGGGGGGCTCCCAAACACCGGGACGCCTCCGGCCACGTCCAAGAAGCTCCCCCTACCTTCCGTCTGCTTGAGCAGGAGCTCGATGCGGCTGTCCAGGCTCTCCCGCGCGGGGCTCAGCTTCTGGGGGATTGCGTCGCTCGCCGCGTGCGGGTCCCATTGCGCCGCACCCCGCCACTGGTGCATCCCGTCGGCCGTCGGAGGCCACGAGCCCGCGTGGTTCACGTCCCAAGCTGACGCAGGGTGGTGCCCCGTTGCCGCGGCGTACTGGGACGACGCGCAGTATGAGTAGCCGCTGTCGTAGCTGAGCGGGGTCGACGCGTTGGAGCGGTAGGACGCGGCGGAGGCCGACCCGTAGTCCGAGTGGTTGGAGTAACCCGAGTAGTCCGACTGCTGGGGTGCGGCGGTCGAGGAGCACGGCGTGGAGGCAGAGGAACCGGAGGGGGGCAGCGCCCTGGGGGGCAGTTGCGTGGAGGGAGCGCCGATGGGGGGCAGGGGGGGCTGGGGGAGGGGAGGCGGAGGGGGCTCGGGTGCAAATGCCAGGGGCTCCGGGAACTTGGGCCGCTCGGAGCAGAGCTCTTCGTACAGCCGCTGGCACTCCCGACCTGGGCAGGAAGCGTGGGCCCTGATCACGCGCAGGTCTGGACATTTCACCTACGAATGTAGACTGACGAGCGTGCTGGTTGAGTTGAGGAACACCGAAAGAATATATGAAAGGAATTGTATGTCGTCCCTCGTCCCACCCGTGTCTTCTTTCAGTGTTCCTAAGCTACTAATGTTGGGAAACGATTGACATCTTGGGAATACGGATTAAACAAATTAAACTTTGCTCATTTAGCTTTTCTTTCTTGGCAGCCAAATCATACTTTAATATAGAGTTCATGAACACTATAATAAAAAAGATACCCATGCTGCGCGTAAGTTTTTTTGCTGTCCAACTTAATCCTACACCCGATACTTGGGTTTTTACTGGCAGAGAAATGCCAGCACTTGCACATTCATCTTGTCCCGATGCGACGCCGCACGCTACATCTTTTGTTGCAGTCAACTCCCAGCTAACCCAGAGGTGGCGACGACAAAGGGACGAGAAAAGAGTGTCTCTAACCGCGCCCCACGGGTGCAGCGACGGCCTTTCGTCTCACCGAAAGGATCGAAGAAGACGTTGAGGATGTTGCCCATGACGGAGGAGAGATGCATCTTGTCGACGCAGAAGCGGGCCGCCTGGGTGGTGGAGAAGACCACCCGTGCCAGGCCCAGGTGCTTGCGGGTGCGGCCGTGGTAGTACACCACCGACTCGTCCACCTGGCCAAACTTCTTCACCAGGTCGTCCAGGAAGCCCTTGCCAATGTTGTCGTTGAGGTTGGTCAGTGTCACCTCCAGCGGGGGCGGGATCCCCACATAGTGCTCGTCGATCTGGACGAAGAGAAAAGTCCGATTTAAAATTGAAAACTCTCTTTCCGCACTTTGTCTTCACACGAGCACCATGCGAATCCTGGGTTCAATCCCCACCCCCGCTCGTTTCGGTCCGGATGAGTGTCATACCGGCGTGCAGTTGTGTATCACCCAAGGCTAGCAGCTGTAATACACTCGCTAAGTCTCTCATCCATGGCTGAGACGCTGGATGCTCATTGGGACTGCAAGCATTCCGTTGTCTAAAGAAACGCGCAACATGATTACTCCCCTGGCCGACGAGGCCAATCAAGTGGCACCAAAAGTTCATGTCACGGCAGCGTCCTTCCGTACGAGCTCGTCTACCGGCTCATTCAATCAAGTGCAGAAAGCACACCATGACTTTTCGCTTTTAGTTCTCGTGTGTGCGCTCGCATGTCTTCTAACCTTTGACTGGGCTTGCACTTACGGCAAGACGAAGTGTAGACAGGCTGATGAAACTCTCTGAGGAGACTAATCCCCCCCCTAATTATCAAGATTAAAGTGTATCTGAAAATTAGTGCTTTCAGGCTTCTACCACCAACCCTGCATGATATGGGAGGTACAAACCAAGAGCATAGATAAGGCAGAAAAACATTGCATGTTCTATATAACTGGTGTCTCAATTTGCGATTGGGATAGCTTTAAAAGTGCAGCTCTTTTTCTTTTCAAAATAATATGATACTTCAAACTGAAAGTGAAAACTACCATGCTTGTTTTTACACTCTGCCAAAGAGCAACTATACAGGATAGAGTGCCCGTAAAATACAAGTTTTTCGTTTTTTTTTTTTTAAAGCACATACCTCACACTGACATGACAAAAATGTTACCCGGTGTTGCCTCAACAGTAGATGATCTGTTTACACACCGTTAAAGAGCAGACTACAAATTTTAACAATTGTTGTCGGTATCCCGACAACATTTTGAAGTAGCACTTTATAGTTATGATCTTATTTTCTTCTTCATAAAGCCACATCAGTCATTTACCTTCGGTCACACTCAACCTTTAAAGGGAAGCTGGACAGGTCCTTGAAAAAAACGAGTTAGAGGTGAATTCTGGAATATTTTTATCCCGTGAATCTAAATATCACTTTTGTCTTCCCCAAAGATGAAACTGAACACGAGAAAACACGAAAAACATCCGACCAGTCGTTAAGTCATAAAAGGATCTTTCGGCCACTAAGCGCGTGTCGCTCGTGTGGGCAGCACGTGCAACTGGAAGCTTGTCAGGTATATTCTCCCGCACTGACACCAGCTGCAACGTCTTTTTTTGACCTCTTTAAAAACAGCAAGATTATGCTTGCATAGCTTTGATAGGCGCTGAAGATGTGTGAGAGCAGCGATTCCGAAAACTCCTTTTATGACGTAACGATCCGGGAAGGAGGGGCTTCGGCGGTACTTTAAAAATTAATTTCTGCAGCCTCCGTGCACCAAATTCAAAAATGATCTCGATATTCGTGATCCTGGAGACCAAATGAAGACAATTTAGGTGTTTTTAGTCAAATACAGAACCGCTTCGGCTTCCCTTTAAGTGCACACACGCACTCGAGGCTCGTGCGACACCAGAGCATCACCGAGGATGGAAGGTTCACTTTGGAAGCAGGGCGATTACCCGCACGTCATTTTAAAGCTCCTAATGACCACTACGTACGACGCCGTGCCCCACTTAACGAGAACTCTCCTCACAAGTAAAGGTAACCGTTGGCTTTTCTTCCTTCTCACCTTGAACTTGGGCACAGGCAGGTCGGCAATTTCAGTCCGTGCCCAGAGAAATGCAAGGCGGGACCTGGGATCACGGACTTGGACGGGAGGGTAAAGATTTTCTTGCTGGAAAACGAAAGAGAAGAATGTGCCAAATCACGCAATGCATCGAATACACTCGAGCGAGCTGTCAACGCACTTCGAACGCAGTGACGACCAACGACCGATTGTCGACCGTACCACGAGGCCAAGCCGATAGGTAATTATTGATCGGTTACGACGGATTATTTCGCCGATGTCCGAGAGCAGTCGTGGTTATGCAAACGCTTCAGAAAGAGGCTGGTATAGCCACGGACAGGACAAGAATGGCAGAGAGAAGTTTCGGTTGTCCAGCCTCCAGTGTGAGCTTCCTACCTTCGATGACGCTTGGGCATCTCACGAGACGCAGGGTGTTCGAAACAGACGCCCTGCCATTCTCACCTTGTCAGTGACTATGGTCAGAGTATGCGCCTTTCCGACGTCAAGCGCTCCGACTAGACCCAAGTGTTTTTACTTTACATCCAAGCTTGCAGTTTCAGCATGATCATCTCGGAGAAAACACCCTACAACGAAGCGAGGTTCACCAAATGAGAACGAGACGGCCAAAGACGGCATATTGAGCAGCACATAGAAATCGTGTGTTAAATATGAGTGCAACCATCTTCACACCTTGGCAATTAAGGTATGCACATTGCCACACACGTCGTGTCACCCGTGTCCTCTTACGCATTTCCTCACGCACTGTTCCGAGGACGTTCGCCCCACAGCTGTCGACGTGAAACCCGACAAATCTCTGCGCCTGCTAAAACGCGATTACTAAACGGAGGCCCGCGGCTGAAACGATGCTAAGAGAACCAGTTTCCCAGCATCTCAGCGCAAACAAAACAGCTCGCCACTGTCCGGATGCAAACTCTGACCACAAAAAGCGCAGCCGCGCAACACCTGGACACACGGTGAACACATCGGACTCCGCGTTGCCAAGTCGAATGGCAGGCACTCTTATCGCAACACGGTGACAGTCCGCCGCGTACGCCGGTGCCGTGCTAACCGGCTCAGTCGAGCCGCTTCAGACCTTTGGCTCACTGCAACGGCGCAGAGTGCCGCGTACCGTTGGTCACCCAAACGCGTTCGTCTCCGGTCAAAGACGTCGGGGCGTCTACCCAGTGCTTGGAAACACAACGTTCGCAGCTACAGAGTGCGAATGCTGCCATCGACTCCAAAACGTGAACGGTGCAGTTGAGCACGGCTGACAACAGCTCGACCGCGAGCGCGCTCGCCGTCCTGAAAAGCAGGGTGCTCGACCGGGGCATCGGGTTCGTACCCCTGGAACGACTCCATCGTATCTGTAGACCTTGACGGCTCCTTTTTTCATCGCTGGGTCCACCAGCAGCTTGTAATTCCTTTTCTTCTTCTCCCCATGGCTGGCGTCGTGATGAACGGGTCGAACGCCATTCATTGCTGCAAAAAGCGAAGAAAAAGGGTTGTTTTGAGTATGACGCAAACGAGAGTCCAATACGACGCACACGCAAGAGTTCATTCTGCAGGTGTCGATTTAACGGGCAAGATTTCTCCCCAACTGCGAGATCGGCATTGTGTTGTTTTGACGAACGTATGATGGGGGTGAGATTCTACCTGAAAGCTTTCGTCGCCCTCGGCATGCACGTAAAGCTGCGCCGCGATCTCGCTGGATGCGACAATCACGATGCCCTACCCATTACACAGCTTGGTCACTCTTGACGCGAATGCGCTGAGAATCTCACATTAATTACGCAAAGATGTTTACTGCCCAACTGCTCTACACTACACTTCTGTTCGCCCCAGACTCCATCACAGTGGCATTATCAAACAGTTCTGGCTTCTTTCCGGTAGCCAGGGTTTCGTATTCGTTTCTGTTTAGTTTTCAGTTATGTAATGCACTTTATCGAAAATTATAAACCATACTTGTTTTATTTTAAAACAGTACACAATCGTTGGCATTCAGGAGGAAAGGGAACACCGCTACAACTTACGTATTCGAATGCGGCACTACTGCTCGAATCTGGGAACTGGACAATGCCAGGCATCCAACGTAGTAGCGTAGGGGAAGTCGGAATCTAAAAAGGACACGTCGGGAAAAAGATTTGTATTCTGCGAAACTTGCTATTCTTCTTGATAGTTTTATAACAGACCAAAGCAGTCAGTAAGACAATTACTTCATTTCTTTTTACCTAAGTGCGCGTCGGTGGGGGTCGCCTGGGCCAGAGCGAGGGCAAGAACGGCAGAGCGCTCGTGGCATCAAATCCCGCTTCATTCTATCGTCGTTTACTGTAATAAAAGTTTTAGGTATGAATAGGGTTAGAGTCGGAGCCGCTCGAAGCGCGGAGTTTCTTGAAAGGAGAAATTTGGCCAAAGTGACTTCTGAGAAGTGAGCTAGTTCCCTACTGGTGGCACGGTGCGCAGTAGGCGAGACACTACCATTGTGGGATATCCGTAGTACGACGGACGCTATCTGAAGCCGTGAGTTTAAAGAACAGCTGGTGGACCACTTTCGAACAGAATCCCGAGCAAACATGTTCCCGTGGATACTTCTTCCAATGATGTCACTTCTTTTCTTTGGACGCCGACCGGTCGACCTTTCTCGGTGAGAGCACCGGTGTCGAGGTTAAGGTTACTGCGTGCAGGCGCTGGCTGGCTGGCTGGCGTGCTGGTTCTCCGGTCACGTGTCGTCACATGGTCGAGTATGGCTTGATGTAGCTGAGTTACATATCAACGTCTGTGCATATCAAAGCAATCAATCTGACAAGATGCTTGCAACCTACCACTGCTTAAACACCGGTGGCAGTCGGTTCATCGAACGACGTTTCATCGACACGCGATGTTTCATCGACAGCTCAGATTAGCGTTTTTTCTGTAATAAGCTGCAGGAGATTGTCGCCGCGAAGCGGCGTGTACGGTTCGGTCAGGTTGGTTAACAATTTAACATTTTGGTAATGAGCCGCTCTAGACTGGCGCAGGCGGGGGTGGGGTTAACGCGCGCCCGTGATGCACGCGTGACGAAATGTTCCGGCCTACAGCGTGCGATTCGCGTAACGAGTGTCGACAAAGCATGTGTCCATGAAAAGTTCACGAAACGAGTTTCGATGAAATGATAGGGACCCTCGTTGCACCTCGGCAGTCTGAAGAGATGAATGAATGGAATATCTCAGAACATGATGAAAAACGTCTACGAAAGGATAATTAGGATAGGGCCAGCTTGAACTTGGGAGACGAAATAACGTGAAAAACAAAGATATCAGAAAGAGATAGAGATACTGCTGGTAGACCAACACTGTCTACCAAAGATTGGACGTGAAAAACAAAGGACGAGTCGAATGTACATACTTGCTTGCCGATGGCAAGCAAGTACGGCAATGACCTTGCAGATATTCGTGATTCCTTCGTGATGATTAACGTGATCAATGAAATGTGAGCGGCTGGTGAACGGGTGAAATATGAAAAGTACGAGCAGTACGAGTACAAGGTACGCGACAGATGGCGCAACGTGTGAGACGTGTTTATGTTTTTTCATTCGAAGATAACAAGGCACCTCAATTAAGAAGAACATGTATTCATTTTTATTTTATAAAACGAAATACACTCTAACTTAGCGTTCGAACGGCACTTTTTATCAGGTATATTCCATCACACTTTCATTGTTGTTGTTTTGTTTTTCGTTACTTCAGTAACATATAGCAGCTTAGCAGACGATCACGCGCAACGGGTAACGACACTCGAATTCAAATAACGACGACTTCTCGCGCAAACCGTTTTCAACTGCACGGATTTAAAGGCTCTGGGAATGAGTTTTAGAGGAAGGCATCTTGACAGGATCGGCCTCCCCGGTTACTCTCACCGACGTCGCAACAGCAGACAGCCGACGGAAGCCAGCGACGACGGACAACGCCGCCGAACCGCCGACGCGCGCTGGCGCTCCGAGATGGCCAGCTGTTTCGAAGCTCTCCGGCCTCTCATTCCTCCACCGGCTCAATTCCACCGACGTCGCGGAGGCCGCAGCGCCCTACTCAGGGCTGCCACCGAGCACCTCCTATACCTCGAAGGCGTGCTATCCGATCTCCTTAAAGACGGAAACCACAGTAGCGACAGCAGTCGACTGCCACGAACGATCGAAGAGTTTCGTGACGAGTTTCTCAACTCCACAAACCTGCTACCGCCGGCGCGTCGACGAAGGAGATGCCGAAGACGCAGCGAGCGCTCGGAAGAGGTGGTCCTCTCCTTAGAAGACCTCGTACCCGAAGATCCCCCAACGACGTTTACTGGCGTCAGGGGACCGAACGTCATCGTACGCGCCGCCAACGTCGCCCGAGCTCCACTGGGCGACATCACCAACGCTCCGAGAGGCTCCCGCCGTTGCGGGGATGTTGGTTCGTCGGACAGATTTGGAGGAGCGAGCTCCACTTCGTCCCGTCGCGTGGATAATTTGGACAGTTTTTACGAAGACGGGGTTGTGCTGTCGCTGCCTCCTTGGAACGTCGCCCCTCAGGTCGTGCCCGGCAGTTTTGGAGACGACGATTATTCTTCGTCGGAATACGAGCTGCTGGAAGCGCTTCAGGTCGTTCCGTCGGCTGACGCCGAATCGGCCGTGATTATTCAGGATCCCATGCTGGGGACAGCGCAGTCGCCGGGCTCTGACAGTCCCAAGAAATCGCCACCGCTGTACGATGCCCAGTTACCCGAACAGTGGATCCTCGGTTCGGAGGTGGACTGGATCGTCGATCAGAGAATATCCCAGTCGAGCCAAGAATTTTGAAATCCGGTCATCGACGCGAATTCATCTACTAATCAAATAGTTTTTTTGTTTTTTTTTGCGTATTTATATGTACAGCACCTTTTTGGGTGAGCCATATCATTCGTGCCGTTAAACCGGTAGTTCAAATATGACGAGGCATTGCATCGCCAACTTGGTCCGTTTCTTGATAGGCAGTTTGCGTCGATGAGTGACAAGTGATCAAAAGAGATGGTCCATTTTCTTTAAAAAAACAAAAGAAAACAGCCGTTAAGAAACTTTTTTTTTTCTTTAGCATTGTTTAGCTGAAAGCTTGGCATGTTTCTTGTGATATGTGTATGTTTGTTGCTGCAGGCAGAAGAAAATGGTCTCGAAGCACTCTACTAGTTGATTGCCGCAGCTCGTAGGATGTAATTTTCATTATAATTTAGTTTAGAAAGGTCAATATTTTAATAGAGCTCTCTGTCTTAATTGAATTTGGTCAAAACATACTTTGGACTTGATTAAACATTACTGCTTAACCTTTGGTGCATTTTCAGTCAAGAAAGTATCCTCAAGTTAAAGCAAACAGATTTCAGTAGGAAGAATTGCAAATATTACTGATCAATGTCGTGGAATATTTTGAAGTGCCCAAAAAAAAGGTTTTAAGAAAAGGGGAGGGTCAGATGACGAGAGCAGCCAAGGTATAGTGTGAAGAGGGACTATGTTTTTCCTGTCTATGGTATGTTGCTAAAGTGTGCACTACATTCCTAGCAAATAATGACATCCCAATAAAAGGTGTTCCAGATACTGTGTCCACGGCAGTCACCACCAGGTTCTATTATTGTTTTCAATTCATATTCACGTTACTTAGAACATATTTCTTTGTAAGAAGTCAGGAGCTTTCCCATGACATTAAATTCCTGTCAAAACTTTGTGCTCACACACAATGAGTTTTTTCCATAATCATGTGTAAACTCGATGACCGTTCTACTGAAATGTTTAAAAATTGGCCTTACCAATCTTATTCAACCTTCACGTGTGCATATAAAAAAAAAAACAAAAAAACTTGCAGATAGAGTTGAGGGAAGTTGAACGTGATGACGACAGAGGACAAAGTTAGAAAACAGGCGTTTGCAAGGGGACAGCGCACAGTATGTTTGAAACGTACTGTGTGCTGCCCCGATATTAGACCACTCGTGTCGTAACAAAACTTCCTATTAATAAATAAATAAAAAATACAAATGACGTCGGAAACGAACAGGTATTCACAAGTCCGGCAAAGCCTCAACGATACCGTCGGGGCCAATCTCGAAACTCACAACAACGTGGCCAAAACTGGGTGCCTTGAAGAATGTTGCCTCGCGGACGTGCCCTTTAAAACCGAACGTCACTCGGTAGGAGCAGTCTTGCCCAAAGGTCTGCCCCAACGCGGGCGCTGGCTTCAGCGTCCCAGACCCAGCACTCGTGGGTTTCATGGACAGATGATTGGTGAGCAGCACAGCGACGTCCAGTTTCGTAGCGACGTCGACGAGTTTCCGAGTCAGGCACCCGACGATCTTTCTCCTCAACGGCAGATCGTCCACCCCATGGCGCAGATGAAAGTCGAAGCCGTCGACGATCACGAGAGTGATCGGGTGGTCGTCATTCGCGGCGAGTGATTGTTGGGGTAAAAGCAGTAAAAAGCTTAGAAGGGCCGATAGTTCTTCCCAAGAAGAGCACGGCCTGAAGCAGAAGTTCGGCGTTGCGCACACGCCGGCTTCTCGACGTCGCGAACGCTGTTTGCTCGCGATGCCGTCGAAGATCTGTTCGAAACGCGTCCTGGTGAATCCTCCTTTGCAATCGATGTAAACGGTCGAGTTGCCCGTGAAATGATTGGACGCCGCCACTTGGAGGCAGAATTGGGTCTTTCCGCTGCCCGGAAAGCCGGTGACCTCCGTTATCTTGCGACGAGCTATGCCGCCGTCCAGTGCAGCGTCGATGCTGGGAATCCAGGTCGGAATAGGCTCCAGAGTTCGGCTGTGTTGGAGCAGTTCCGACGCGGTTTTGAAGGCGAACGTCGGGAGGGCACGCCGCCGTGCCATCACCATGTCGGCTTCCGCCCGGAAAGACGGGCCGGCGGCCCCGACGTCGTTGTCGTCGTGAATGCCGTGCTCTCGAAGCTTCGCGCGGACCCGGCTTGGTAGGAGCAGGGAGCAGAAGTCGTTTTTAGACATCGTAGTGCCATTGACGCTGTCGTGGGGGCCGCAAATATTGCATGCTTGAAATGTTTTTCACATCCATACCGCTGATCCTGCCATCACAACAAATGTCCGACATTCGTGCCACAGTGTGGTTGGTGCAGTTCGTCTGTTCGTTGTATTACGAAGTAGAGTAAATGTAAAGTAACGTCAAAAATAATTTTGTTGTTTTTTATAAATGAAACGTTTAAAGTTGGTTTAATTGTTGCTAAAAAACTGATATAATATATTTACGCTAATAGCAAACTGTGAACACCCCAAAAAAGACGTTATTGACCTGACTAAAGTTAACGTTTCCGGTTTCGTTTCGTAACTTCCGTCGTCTGTTATCCCCGCCTTCAGAGCTCGAAGGCAAACTGGCAGCCACTGTGCTGACACATTTAGCTCCGCAGCCATTATCTATCTTCTAATATCGCCGCCGCAACTTGGCCTTAGATAAAGAGGCACGCACAATCGGGGCACAGAGAGATTAAATCGCTAGGCGTTCGGAGGCACTCGCATTCAACTCTCCTATTTTGCTCTCTTCGTTACAATTCTCTCAGCATGGAATCGGTAAGTCGGCATATTTCGGCTAGTAGAAACTTAATTTCCAAGATGGGCGTTCCTATTTAACGCGACACTTGCTTCGGTCTTGTTTTAGGAAAAACTGTGGGGAGGCCGATTCACCGGAGACACAAGCGAGGTGATGGCGAAATTCAACAACTCGATTGAATTTGATCAAAGGCTGTGGAAAGAAGACATCGAGGTATTACTGTATTATCGGTATTTGTTTTAACCCGTATAACAGGGACCCTAAAGATGTAGGGTGTCTCATTCGTAAAAGTAAACAAAATTAGTCGTGCGTAAAAGAACTATCATGACGTTACGAAGCTGAACAATTTCGTAAAAAGCAGCCGAGTCTACATGACGGGATATATATCCTGGAACAATAAATAAAACGCAAAAAAAGTTATTGTGTTCGAACCAATGACAAAGACCCTGTTTGCACTCATACAGGGTGGCTCAAATAGCGGCCAGGCTCTTTAAATCGACCGCGAAAATCGGTTTCTTAACCTATCGCGCTACGATTTTGTGCAGCGTTTCCCCAGGTGGTGCATTGTTTCCATAAAATTTGCAAAGAGCGCACTTACCTGAGGCAAAGTACAAGAAGGGAAAGGCTTAAGCACTATGGAAGCGCAGCAAAGGCATCGGTCTTCAAAAAACAATTTTTTTTTTTGCCTATTTATTTTTTTTTCTGGAGGAGGGATTTTTTTTTTAAATTTTACAGTGAAAAACGGATTTGTGAAATACACCTTCGACGAAAAGTTCAGATTGATTCGTGCAGGCGTTGATTTGTACGGCCCATTTTAGATCGAGCCAAGTGACTTCAGACGCCCTATGTGTGTTGATGCCACGTGATCGATATTATATAAGACTTACATAGTATTCGAAACAAATGAAGATGATCACTTCTTAAACACTGCATTTTATGCATTATATGAAGGGTTCTCTATTTATGGATTTTATTTCTTGTTCGCGAATTCGGGGACATTTTTTTTGGGGGGGGTTTACTTTTTTTTTTCTTGACAGATTCGGTGTTCTTGTGTAAATTGCTTATAACTTAACCAATTTACATAAAAAACATCGAACCGATAAAAAAAATAACCCCCCCCCCCCACCCAAAAAAAAAAAAAAAGGTCAACGATATATTTTTCTGAAAATCTTAACGGGGCCCTGCAATCATATTTAAGTGTCTACCTTTTTTGCGGTTTCCACGTCTCTTGGGGTTGGGGCAAGCCAGCGGGCACGGAGAGAGTAACTAAATATCAGTGCGTCATATTTTAACCGGACGACGCGGAAACCTCCTCCACCGACGAGGGCAACCCGCGGTACCGAAAGCGCGCAAAATGTGACGCCTTTGGTCCTGGGCTTGCCACTGGTCAAAGCCGCTAAGAGCTTTTTTTTAGTCGAGATACAAAATATAAGTGTCGCGAACCGTTTCAATTATGTATAAAAGTAGTTTTTGTTCACTATTTTAGATCAGAAAAGAAACAAATGCAGTTTAGAAAGTACGGAAACGAGAAATGACCCGTCGACATACCCGCCACCAAGCGGCGGAAAAAAACGGCGCATACTAGAAAAGGCTAGTGGGATGAGGCTACGACAAACGAGGAGCGTAGAAAGGTCCCGGATGTACGCGGCGGCGCTGTGGTCGTATACCGGCTCAAAAAATCGACCGGTTCCGAGCGTTCCGAAGGCCTTCGGCGCGGGCCCTGTTGGCGATTCGGCCATTTGGCGGTGCGTCAGCGCGAAGTGGCTCCCGTTCTGAACTGATCTTTACCCCGTGTTTGCTGTCGTTTGTGGCCAATGAAATGTTATGCCGAATTAGTGTTTAGTCGCGCTGCAAATGCAATACGAGCTGCCCTGGCCGCCCGCTTCATACAGCCTACCTTGCAGCCTATCCAACACGTGCTTTAGTGGCGCCCTCTCGAGCCGTCGACACGGAGTGCGGCAGCCGTGTGCGCTCGATGAGCTCACTACTCCTCCTCTAGTTCAAGGCCACTCAAGCCAGGACCTACGACGTCATGAAGGAGGTTATTTTTTGCTTGTTTTTGTAATTCTAATTTGCCTATAACTTTTAAAATAAAGCGAAATTTGAGAAAAGAAAAGTTGGATTAAGTTACTACGTTCAGTACGCTCAGGTTCAGTGCAAATTAAAAACCAGTCAAAAAGTCATTGCAGGGCCCCTTTAACATCTCGAAAGCATACAGATAGCACGGTAAACATGTATAATCGTTATTACATTTCGTATAACACCCCTAAAGCCTTTTCAAAATCGGCCAAATTACTGAGAGAAATAAATAATCACGTCGGGAAGCCTATTCCATAGGTCGATTGACTGCACACTTCAGCCTGTTTTCAGCCTATTTTTTTTTTTCATGTTTGCTTTAATATATATCTTTCCCTCTCCCCTCTGCAAACGTAAACAGTGAAGAGTTAAAAAAAAAAAAGCGACCATTTCCACCAGTTGTAGCCACCGGTTTTTATAACGACGATTTGTACGAAGTTCGGCTTGCCGATGCCGTATACAAGCCAGACGCATTTTTTTTAGTAATATTACCAGTTTTGTTTGGAACTTGAGTAGGGTTGTTACGAAGGTTTGAATATCAGTTGGTGGTGCAGTTGAAGAACACACAGTAAATCTCACAAATTATAGAGTAAAAATAATTGAATTCAAACGATTCCATTCAGACACAACCCTCATGAAAAATTTGTATTTAAATATATTGTTATTACTTCGATAGCCTGCCGTGGTTCTTGTGACTCTAGATGAGTGCTGACTGAGATAGTAGTTGGTTTTATTTTTTATGAGGGTTTGGTCATTGATAATTTGAAACAAAATTCAAGTCTCGCAATCTTAGCCCTTTTGTCAAGTGATGAGAGATCGGCTAATTTACATAATTGTAATGAAGAGTCTGTGCAGCGAATTTGATTAAAAATTAATCTTGTCGTCAGACTTTCTATTTTAGCGACATGCGTGTTCTATAACAGCACTTTGTTTAGTTCAAACTGGTCATTTTGTGTTCTCATTTCGGAGTACACCTTCTAGAGAAGAAGGCCGTAGCGCTCTTCTCGTGACGTCGCAAAGGAAGGCCATCGGGGGCGCGCGTTGAAGCGAAGGCAACGTGCGTGGATCGACCGTCGTAACGCGCTTTTAGTCACATACGCGTGTCTTATAAGCTAAAATGAAAGCTGCACATAGCAACGGGTCTAGAAAACATTTTATTACAGGGGCAAAATATTACACCCCTAAATATTCGGTACAAAATGGCACGAGGTATGCGTATAAGACATCTAAAGAAAAATGTGATTGTTTTAACTCGAAAACATTGAGTCCCGCAATTATTGCTGAAGGAATACATCTTCTGTACAGAAATACTTCGACAAAATGGCGAGACACGCAGTGATTGGACACAGCAAAACAGATCGCAGTTAAAAATCAGGTAGACGTAGCCAACGCGGACACGGCTAGACAGCTAGGTGTCACTTACGATCATGTAAGCGATGTTATGGCGTGCAGTCACTGAATTCTTGCATCATATTACGGCCACATGGCAAAAGTAATGCAATTTCGATCGAATGACATTATGGGGTCGACAATCAGCTTCACTCAAGACCGCGAGCTGATTAAATCCCATATCACTGAATAAAAATATTTTAACTTTTCCGTGTGGCAGAGGTACTACACTTACTACTTAGTCAACTAATTTACTTCTCCCTGTGGGCTCGAGCTGCCTTAGAACAAAATATAACTTATTTTGTATATCATAATACTATTACCTTAATACAGTGACATGGGCGTATCAACCCGGGGGGGGGGGGGGGGGCAAAAGGGCCGCTTGCCCCCCCCCCCCTGTTCTCAGAGTGAGGGGGGGGGGGGGGGGGCAAGGCATGTGTTTTGCCCCCCCCCCCCCCCCAGCCCTTGAATCAGCCGCCACTGGGCAGGGCAAACACTGGCCGGCGGCGCCCAAGGGATACCAAGGGCACCGCCCCCCCCCCCCCCCCCCCCCGCCCCTGGGGAGAGGAGGGGGTCTGGTTTGCCCCCCCACTCAAAAAAAAGTTGGTACGCCACTGTACAGTGAAGATTCTAGTATAAACGCGGTAAATGCAATAAAATAACATTAGTCTAAATAACCACAACCACAAACAACGCACTTTCTATAATCACACAAACTTGCTTTTCACCTTCCAGTGAAAACTACATTACCACGCATATTTACAAATGTCGACGCAACTGCACACGGATAACGACAAAGAACCAAATTGCATCCTATCACGCGATTTAAAAAAGAAAAAAAAAAACGGTTGTAGCACTTTACTTGCGTCCTAGATGATCAAGAAAGCCCGTAAATAAGTTGTTTCTCACCTGTCGATCGTATCCATACGTCCCACAATATCCGTGACGAAAACATTTGAATACGGACTCCAGAAGTATATCTCTGTCCAAGGAGAGGTCTACGATCTATCGATAATTGACCAGAGTCATCGTTGGCTAGTCGTCACACATGTCACTCAAACCGTAGCAGAACTTGTTTCACGAATCCACGTAAATGCCGTAATATCAAGCTAACAAAAAAAAAAAAAAAAAACAAACACCCGAGACTGCGGTGGTGACAAAAAAACGACGGGAAACAAGTCTCAAAAGTATCACACACGTGAGCAGCGGCGACGAAAGGTTTAACGTTGTCCACCCCTCTCTTGCTCGTGCGCTCCCTGCGGTGATAACTGGATTTTTTTTTTTTTTTTCAATTCCCTTTTCTTCTTAAAGTCTCAGCGTTCCTTTTTAGACAGTCAGCAGCTAACACACAACGTAAATTTACCATAATCAGAGCCCGTGTGAGGGAAGAAAATGTCGCGATCGGCCGGTTTATTCGGAAAGTCCGGGCTGCTGTGGGACTGCATGCATTCCCGCGGTTACGGGGATACTCATTAATACAAATTTGGTACTTTCAACCGTGGTAATGCGCTGTACGTTACGTTTATATTATATATATATATCAGTGTGTCGAACCGAAAAAAATACGGGTTCGGTTACGGTTCAGGTTCAGGTAAATATATTTTGTTCCGGTTCAGTTCCGGTTCGATTAATTCGATCCGCGAACCGGTTCGGGGCGCTGAACCGGTTCGGGAACCGGTTCGAAAATTATATATGACAAATTGCAACATCAAAATAAATTACAAATAAAACATCTGAAATCAGCACAT